CCCCCCCCCCCCAACCCCTCCGGCGGTCTCTGCACCAAAGGAGCTTACACTCTAATGTCCCCCACAGTCACACACTATTATTATACATTTTTTATAGCTCTGACATATACCGCAGTGCTGTACAGAGAACACTGAGCCAGTCACATCAGTCTCTGTACAGAGGAGCTTACACTCTAATGCAGAATTACACCAACTGTGGAGGGACTACAAATCCCAGCAATACATTTATACAGTAATGCAGAATAGTATATAAATTGGTGCGATGGACTCTGGACTCAGGGATGGCGCGGACTCAGGGATGCGCCGGACTCAGGGACGCACCGGACTCAGGGACGCGCCGGACTCAGGGACGTGCTGGACTCAGGGATGCGCTGGACTCAGGGACGCGCTGGACTCAGGGACAGACTGGACTCAGGGATGCAATGGACTCAGGGACGGAATGGACTCAGGGATGCAATGGACTCAGGAAATTTGAATTCACAGCTACGTATGTGCATTACAACGCATGCTACAACATGTGCACCTAAATGGAATGGACCCCATTTTCTGCTCCTGCAGTAACAGATAGTAACAGATATCATTAATAGTAAAATTCCTGCTCATATAAAAAACATGGCGAATCGAATCCTATCACATAAATATTTATAGAGTCATATTTGTTATTATTTAATGTTATTTAAGTGTAACTTTATATGTTCTGGCTTTCCTTAGTGCACCATATGCTGATGTTAGTAGACTTTACCGTAACAACATTTACCTTTCACCAAACTTCATTAACTAAAATGTTCTAAAAGTTTTATTTTGATTATATTTCTCCCTTTCTTTTTGCAGAGTACAGTTATTGCTGAAATGTCTATGATTACTCCAAATTTCACAACATCTGCAAAGATTCCAGCACCATCTTCTGGATCTGGATCTGCCAGCCTTGGGATTGCCATCCTATCAATTGCTTTCATCATTGGATTTCCAGGCAATGCTTTTATCATCTGGACTATATTAACCCGAATGAAAAAACACACAGTAACCTGCCTACTCATTTTGCACTTAGCTATGGCAGATGTCATGGTCATCCTCACAGCACCGTTTTTTCTCCATCTACTATCCACTAGAAGCTGGGTATTCGGACATGTCATTTGTAAGATGTGTCATTATGTGAGCTGTCTGAGTATGTACGCCAGCATTTTTCTGATCACCTTCATGAGCATGGATCGTTTTTTAGCTGTAGCATTTCCTTTCACTTCTCAGAAAGTGAGAACAAAACCAGTTGTCAGGGGCATAGTGTTTTTAATCTGGGTGCTTGCAGCTTTGATGTCCATTCCCATGATATTTTACCGTGATGTTAAATTCTTCCTCGGTCCTCCTCTCTGCATTCCATTTCATGGTTCACAAAATGACACTTCAACTACTAAACATATAATTTTTCAGTATATGTTTGAAACTATAATAGGCTTCATCATCCCATTCACAGTCATCCTGTTCTGCTATGTTTTCATTGGAGTGAGGCTACGCAGTGCCAAATTTCTGACCAAGCGTAAGACAAGTCGGCTGGTAATCATGATTATAGTGACATTTGCCCTTTTCTGGCTTCCATATCAGTTAGTAAATATGATACAGGTGTCAGGGGAGATGTTCTCCTCAGACAAACTAAGAAAAGTAGCTCGGTTTGCCAGGCCTAATGTCACAGCCCTTGCCTTTCTCAGTAGCAGTGCTAATCCTATTTTGTATGTGTTTGCTGGCGGGAATTTTATTAGGACTGCTGGTGTGGGATTCATGGCCAAGCTCTTTGAAGGCACTCATTCTGAGACTTCCAGTTTCCGTAAAATCTCCCAGGTCTTCCGTCAAAGAAGCCAAACTGAATCTGTGGAGTTGGAAAAATGCAAAGAGTATCCAGAGCAGAGTAAAATGTTTTCGACCAATCAAAGTGATTGACAGTAGGAAGACGAAAAAGCCATGGACAAAAGCCAAAAGACACATTCTAAACTTTGCTTTAAAAAATATAACAAGGGATATTGAAAACTGGGTCATGGTTTATGTAATGCTTCAAAAACGGACACCAAAAGCAGCTCTTTTGCATTTTTGGATTTCTAGTAAGCTACTTTTGTCAAAAACTGAATGACCTGGAAAATGCACAGATCATGCAGAGCAGTTTAAAACATTTTCAACCATTCAACCAAGGAATTAATAGTATGATGCTTGAAAAATATGAAATCTGGAATATGGACTTTCTAAACTTTGTTTATAACTAGCAATTCTACAGCATTATACACTAGCAGAATGTTTTATTATTAAAAAAGAGTTTTATTTTACTTTGGGGGATACATTATCTTTTAATTATATCTATAAACTGTTGTTGTTTTAAAATATGGTGAAATTACCTTTTGCATTACAAATAATATTGTATATATAAGCTCTTTAAATGTAAAGGAAATAAAGATTGTTTGACTGTATAGCAGGGAGTAAATATTTTCTGTTTTTAAAGTACTAATATTAATCTGTGTTAAGAGCTCCCACAACAAAAAGTGTGGGGGAGGTGGGCATTTAAAGTGACATTAAAGACAGAAATGGTTTCACCCCCCATGCTGCTTTAAGGACTTAGCTTAAAGGAGAACTATGGGGTCAGTGTTTTTCCCCATAGTTCTCCTTAGGGTAACGGGAGGACACAAACTAGCGTCCTCCCATTACCCTAAGCTCAGTATACCGCAAGCTACAGCTCGCGGTATACTGAGACGCCGCAGCCGGAGCGGATCCCGACGTAGATGACGGGATCCGCCCAGCTGCGTGAGTGACAGCTGGCTCTGCCTATCTAGAGGCAGAGCCAGCTGTACCCGCCCCCTCCCCCGTCCGTTCCGCCAGTCAGCGCTGGCAGATCGGAACGGGGAGAGGGGAATCCAGCCCCTCCCCCTGTCACGGCAGAGAGCCGTGACAGGATCGAGAGGCGAGTGAACCCGGTATGTGTTCGCTCACCTCCCGATCTACTGAGCCGACTTGTGACAGTCTCATTGTCACAGGTCGGCTAGAACTATGAGGTGAGTGGAAATCACTCATCTCATAGTTCTCCTTTAAATGATGCCGCTTGATCCAAACATCTTCTTCCTTCCACTTCTATTCAGCAATTGCTCCAACGCTGGTGCCAGTCTCTAATCCAGGGCAGACTCCTGTCTCTTCAAGTTTGGTGGAGGGGGGATTATGGTGTGGGGTTGTTTTTCAGGGTTTGGGCTTGGCCCCTTAGTTCCAGTGAAGGGAACTCTTAAGGCATCAGCATACCAAGACATATAGGACAATTTCATCCTGTTCCAACATGGCTGCGCACCAGTGCACAAAGCAAGGTCCATAAAGACATGGATGAGCGTGTTTGTGGTGGAGGAATTTGACTGGCCTGCACATAGTCCTGACCTCAACCCGATAGAACACCTTTGGAATGAATTAGAGCGGAGACTGCGAGCCAGGCCTTCTCATCCAACATCAGTACCTGACCTCACAAATGACCTTCTGGAAGAATGGTCAAACATTCCAAAAACACACTCCTAAACCTTGAAGCTGTTATAGCTGCAAAGAGTGGGCCAACTCAGTATGGAACCCCATGGACTGAGACTGGGATGCCATTAAAGTTCATGTGCATTTAACAGCAGGCAATATAGTGTATATTGGGGAAAAAAGGTCATTTTCGGTTTCTGCCTGAAAAATTCTGCTGAGGGAAGTGCGTTGCCATTAATTTTAATGGCACCCCAAACGCGCCTCCCACCCACAGCATGATCCCCCCACTGGAACGCACAGTACTGCAATGCTGCACGTCCAAGTGCAGTGCAATTGCAAAAAAATAAAAATGAAGTAAACTTTATTCTGCATTTGTGTATGCTATTTTAAATTAAGGATGGTATTTATTTAATTTTTTTATCTGATTAATCGAAAAATAATCGGCCAACACTTCAAAAACAAAATTGTTAGAGTGCTACATAAATATATGTGTGGAGTAATAAAAGGCAGTATGTTTTATGGTTATGGATGCAGTTTTTTAATTATCAAAGGCATACCACATCAATAATCAAACAACATAAAAGGGAACCACAAAATCCAGCTAATGTCTAGTAGTAGGCGAGGGATCAGGCCTGCATAAAACTCAGTATGACAGCACCATCTAGTGATACCAAATATGATAAGAGAAAAAAAGCTGAGTAGTTTTTAAGCATAAAAGCACCTTTTCCTGTGTGTCTCTGTCTCAGCAGGGGTGTGGAAATAAAAAAAAAAAACTACTCCTCCAAGGACTAAAGCGGGGGCCCAATCTACTTGTCCCTCATCACAATCTACTTGTCCTGATTAAAAAAACAACTTTAAACAAAACCCTATTTAACTGTGCAAAGAAGTGCTTCTCATTGGTCAGCATGGTCACCTGGCCGCACTGACCAATGAGTGCTCGCAATTTGCGAGCAAAATCCAAAATCCATAGGACAGGGCTGTGTTGGACTGCAGTATGGGGTACAGATAGTACACCCGTAACGGCAGAGGGATAGGACCATGCACCGAAAGGTAAGTATAGCGCTGGGGGAGGGAATGTGGAGAGAGTTGACAAGATTTGAGCGGGTAATGTCATTTTTCCAAAGTGCTTGGGAAAGTGAACTTACCCTTTAATGCACATTGTGTGTGTTAGAGAGCACTGCGTATCCACATGCAGAAGCAGCGGGGCCAAGGTTGGTTTTACATTATTTTCTTTTATTCTTTTTATTTTATCACTTAATTTTTTTATTTTATTTTTTACTTTAGCATTTTTTAATTTAAATTTTATTATTTTTTACTTTTGTATCACTTTTAAATTTTACATTTAATAATTTTTGTAGTTTTTTATCACTTTTAATGTTTATTTTATTATTTTTTACTGTTTTATCAATATTTCATTTTTGAAAATTATTTTTTACTTTTTCATTTTTATTTTATTATTTTTTTATCACTTTTTCATTTTATTGTTTTTTACTTTATCACTTTTAATTTTTATAATTTTTTTCAGGTTTTTTTTTGCACTTACCTTTATTACTATCACGCAGGGGCAGGCAACCTTGGCTCTCCAGCTGTGCTGAAACTACAAATCCCATCATGCTTCTGCCTCTGGGAGTGATGGCTGTGGCTTGCAATGCCTTATGGGATAAGGATATAGTTTCAGCACAGCTGGAGAGCCAAGGTTGCGTACCTTTGCCCTATGTGATAGTGTTTGGAGGTGAAATATTCTCCTTATTATGGAATCTGCCCTCCAACACAGAACATCGAGCAACTGCATTGTGCTCGATCCTGTGACGGCTGAGATAGGGAGCACAGCGTTCCTGTCTCACTGATCACAGAGAGCAGAGCAGAAAATTGACGTTCTCTGCTTTGGTCCCCGCTCTCCATCCTGAAATGATTGGCATTGTCCCGGATCCCCCGGCGGAAGAGCGGGGAATCCCGAAAACAACAGTGGGGGGGTGCTGACAAGATGGCTGCTCATTTTATACAAGTGATCTGAGATCACTTGTACTAAATGAGTGGCGGCTCCCCCGATCTACATTTAGCTCTGCTAGCATACAGCAGGGCTAAATGCCCGGCACCCAGAACTGCATGTCCCGGGTATCGGGCTCTAGGAATTCTGCACCCCTGCTCAGTATTGTCAAAGCACTACGAAGCTATCTCTACGAAGCCTCTATCTAGGCTTGTATAGAGATCATTTTTGAGGTAAGAGAATAAAAGACCTTGCACTACATCTTTCCTCATTTCTGTAATTGACCTAAGCTAAAGGAGAATTGCAGAGGTGAAAGATATCATCCATAAATATAGACTAACACTGGCCGGACACTGCTCTATTCTTCCTTCTACCCACGGGCTAAACGAAAAAAATAAAACAGATTCCTCCATCAATGCTATGAGCGCGTTGATTGGGAAATCCCTGCTGTTGCTTTTTTATTGTGACAGCAGCCACCAGCCGCTGCCATAATACATTGGCTGCCGGCTCTGTTCGTACGAAAATTTTCCAACTGTCTCCTTCGATCAGCTGAAAGAGTGCAAATTTTTGGCTGGTTCGTCAAGAACCAGCTTAAATTTGCACAGCATATGGCCACCTTAATGGTACCAGAAACCAAGGTTACAAATATGTTCTTTGCAGCTTAATGCAAATTTAATCTGTTTCATACAACTAATCTTTTGGCTGGAATCCACAACAGGTTATTTATTTCCTCCTATTTATTTCCTGGTATTGGCCTAAAACATTATAGAACTTTTTTAGATGGTACATTCCAAAGAATAGACACAGGCAAATATCTCGTGTCTTTTATATTTATTATTAGGGCTCGGATTATCAGGCCTTGACCCACTGCCCAGCTTCCTGATTGCCTGGGAAGCCGGTGTTCTATCGAAAGCACAACAGCTTCACTTCCCTTGCAAAACTGTGAGGCAGCCTGGCTTCCTGACCAATCAGGAAGACGGGCAGTGGGTCATGACGGGCTCCCTGGCTTCCTGATTAGCCTGGCTGTTTTGCCACGCGTCTGATCGCACTGCGGGCGGGAGGGCATAGCTGCGGTGTCATTCACTTCAATGCACCCCCACGCCCCCTCCAGCCCCAGAACGAAGGGGGAAGTTTTGTGAGCGATTGCGGTTTGTTCAAGCAGCTCCTGCTCTGGAACGCTACGCATGTTGGTGTGAACAAGCCCTAAATAATGGTTTCTATGTTAAACCATTTAATCTCTCCTTTATTTCTGTAGCCAAAAATTGAAAGCTAGGGTTTTAAAAATGTGCACTTTCCTAGAACCCCGCCCCCCAAACTTTAGTTATGGATAAAGTGTGTTGCCAGGTCACGGAAAGCAATTAAGATCAAGCCAAAACAAATATCAAATCAATAACATTTGAAACGAAAACATTAGACTTCTACTACTAATGGTTAAACTATAATTTATCATCAGATTATAAAGATACATCACCTCAATGTAACAGT